AAATGGGAGGAGGCGATGGGTAGGGATTTAGGTAAACAAGGAATGGCCCAAGAGTTGGATCATTATTGAAATTGGGTGATGGGTTTGCCAGGTTTCAATTATACTTTTTCTAGCCACTTGGGGTTTAGCACTAAATTTTCACGCAACAAAGGTTAAAAAAGGGGAGGGAAAGAAAGTGGGGGAGGCAGGACTTGGAGACAACAGACCCGTCGGAAGAAATTACGCTTCTAAAGAAGAGCAGAGAACCCCCGGCACTAACTGGAGGGACATGCAGGGGCGGGGGGGGGGGGGGGGGGGTTTTTGATTGCGCAGCTGGCCAGTCCCATAGACAGGGAAGAGCTGATGATGCAGAAGAAAAGGGGGACATGCTGGAGTGACTTCCTGGAGTAAGGGATAGGGGACAGGGAGCCCATGGGAACAGAACAGGCAGAGCGCACAAGGCGGACGGATGGATGAAAGTCGTGGCTGCACGTGGACGTCACCTGTGAGTGACTCGTTTTTCAGTGGACTAGAAACCAGGTCGTGGACAGAGAGTGAGGTGTTGATGAGCCAGGGGAACACGATTGGAATAGGAACCGGAGCATGAATTCTCTGCGAATGGAATAGGAACTGTGAGAGGGGACACCGGAGGGTAGTGGTTATGACTTTCAAGGGATTCCAATCAGCGTGGTTTGGGTCTGCCTCCAGCCACGTTCAGACAAAAAGCATACACAAAGATAACCAACGACAAATGGTCACTCGGTGCCAAGTGGAAAACCCAAGCATGAAAGCTTCAGGAATTTGCAGACACCCAGACATCTCAGGGAGGGGAAAGGTCAAGGACAGAAGCATGCAGACTCTGTGGGGACTGGGAGGAGGCTACCTCCTGGAGGGAGAACGTTCCACCACATACCTTGGGGACCTCCCCCTTGCTGCCGGGGGGCAGCCGCAGGACCCAGAAGTTCCTGTTCCTCAGCAGGTTCTCCATGTTCTCCAGCCGCCTCTGCAGCAGCCCGTACTCCTGCAGCAGGGTCCCCAGCACGGCCCACTTGCTCTCCATGTGGTTCCCGAACTCCACGGCCGTCTTCTCGCAGTCGGCCAGCTTCTTCTCGGCTGTCCCCGTCCGTCCCTCCAGATTTAGCAGCTGGCTGGCCTGGGCATCCACCTTCCTCTCCACAGCTTGAATGGCGGCCACCACGGTCCAGAGGGAGATCTCGGCCGTGGGCAACTGGGGCTCTCTCATCACACGGTCAGGGAAGACGGGTGCCCTGTCTGGGAAGGGCGGGAACTGAAAAGGCATAGGTCGCCGGGCATCCATGTCCCATTCTTGAGCCTGGGTGCAGAGGGAGAAAGTGACAACCTGGGATGAGACCCTGTGTGGCGGGGGAGAGTGGCCTAAGAGCCCAACAAATCAAATGCCACAGATTCCCATTCTTCTGCCAAGCCCCTGCCTCTCAGGCTATGGTGTTCATGAATGTCCCCAGCAACAGCTCGAGCAGCCACCCACCCAACCTTCCCATTTCCAACCGGTCAGTCCAGTCACTAGTTCACCCATTTTGACCTTTGGCCTAAAATGTCACATATGACTTTCTTTGAACAGAACAGCTACTTTTCTCAAGGGCTAGACTTAATGAAGATCTCAAGGGCTAGACTTAATGAAGAACTCTTTTCTTCTTCTTCTTCTTTTTTTTAAAAATTAATTTCAGAGAGGAAGGGAGAGGGAGAGAGAGACGGAAACCTCAATGATGAGAGAGAATTATTTGTCGGCTGCCTCCTGCACGCTCCCCACTGGGGATGGAGCCGGCAACCCGGGCATGTGCCCTGACCAGGAATCGAACCATGACCTTCTGGTTCATAGGTTGTCACTCAATCACTGAGCCACACCAGCCAGGCATGATGCACTGTTTAGGGTGGCCTCATGTTTTCTGTTTCAAGGTGAGAATTTTCATGTAAGTCAGTGGTTCTCAACCTTGGCTGCACATTAGAATCACCTGGGAATCTTTTTAAAAATCCCGATTTCTGGGCCTCATCCTCTGGAAATTCTGTTTCTTTGTTACTAATGTTGTGGCCCCACCCCATAACAAAGAAACAATTTCCGGAGGATGAGGCCCAGAAATCAGGATTTTAAAAAGATTCCCAGGTGATTCTAATGTGCAGCCAAGGTTGAGAACCACTGATGTAAGTCATCTGACTGTAACCTTCCCAGCAAACTCTAAGCAGGTTAGGGCCACCAATGGTGATCTCTGCTTTGAAGACAGGCAGCTGGTCCTTCTACAGCACCTGGTCTCATCGCCACCTGGAGCGAGCGACTCTAGGTGCGGCTGAGGTAACGAAACAGTTCAGGTCAGGGGTGCTGACACCTTCCCAGCAGAGTCGCACCAGGGGGGACACCAAACAGCCCAAGCGAGAGAGCAGACGAGCAGCCTTTTTTCCATATATAATTAATGATTCAGATTCCTTCCAAAATGAGAATAGGTTTGCCAAAAAAATGTCACTCACTGAGAAGGGAGGAGGAGACATCCCTAAGAGGAAGAGAAGACCTCTCAGCCCCCTCCCTGCCTCCTGGGGAGGGGTACCCCATGGGTGCAGGTTGGGAGCTGAATGAATCCCATGACCAAGTGAGGCTGGTGACCATTCACAGGTGACCGGGGAACTGGCCCCACACCGGACCAGCACCCAGCAGTTACTGGACAACAGCGGGTCTAATAGCGGCCTCTCCTTGCCACCAGGGACAGGAAGAGGTGTCATTTTCTGTTCTCCCTGCTGCTGCTGCGGCTGCTGCTGAAGTGGCCCCAGGCTGGGCAAAGTGGAGACCTGTTGCTTAGAGGTGACCTGGGCAGGCCTGGGACAGGCATGCCAACTGCCCTCTCTAACTTGGAGCAGCTGTGTCGGCCACAGAGGAACATCCCACAGCTCCCAGGGAATCCCTGACACAGGAGAAACAGGACCAGGCCTCTGGGCCCCAGACCCTGCTAAGAGACAGTGGTATTTCCACCAAAGCTCTGCACACGGGCTCATTTAGGCTTCCTTCCTGCCTGGCCCACAGAAGGCAACAAGGGCTCACCGTGGAAGTCGGGGAAGTCACCAGGCCCAGCTAACTTTTCTGCGGTTTGGAGACCTAAAACTGAAGAATGATCAAACACAGCACCCGGCTGACCGGTCAGAGCCCGCTGAGAGAACCAGGCCATCAGCTGGGGGGCTCTGGCCCCCGCCCCGCAGGCCCGCTCCCAGGCTCCCCCGCAGGCCTCTCCGGGGACCACGAGCCTGTGCGCACAAGCCCGGCGCACTGGCTCCCAGAAGCTCCGCATGCTGAGGGCCCCGCGGGTTTTCG